TTCCAATTATTTCCAATATGGAATGTTAAAACCCCCAAAAAGTAAAATGACTTCGCCAAGTCTCTGATGGCATTATCGAATGTTCCGACCAGATTTTTCATATGAACAAAATTCTAACCATGTATACCCGATATCAGACCGGCAAGTTATCAGTTGGGCACCATAATAATAATAGTTGTTGTAAGAAAATTAATAGTGACAGTGGACACAATGGATGAACTGTACCTGTCAAGGATAAGACAGATGTCACCTTCTGACTCGGGCAATGACAGTCTGGCATCTCATCACCACCGTATGTTTATCAACAGGCAAACCTCACCTTTTCACACGCTACAGCCAGGGACCTCAGGCCTGAATCCCTGTTATCTGAGCCCTTATCTCTTCCCAGTGAAGGCAATGTAGATAATTAACTCACAGCAATGCCCTACCCCCAGCAGAGCTACTACAGGTTAATCCATCTGTCACTGCTGGACTGAGACCCCAAGGGTATCGATGGAGATATGGAACGTAATGTCATTATAGTACCATGATGGGGAGGAGAATAATATACAGAGCGCTAACAGGAAAACAAACATGAACTCCCTGAGAGAACAGTCATTGATAGAGATCCACTGAAAGATTGTAGCAACTCGAGCACAGGTTATTTGTGGGATAATGTACACCTTGATTCAGGGCTCGATAAATATGGGCGCCGGGTAGTGCTGATTTCAAGTGAACCTGGGCATTGGCACAAAGCGACAGGTTTATTTTCTTCTCAACAGGTTTTCTTTATTCACAACGGGTTCACTTTTTTGCTCCCTCGCTGCTCCATTCAATCACCGGGACTGTGGTTGAACGCCTTGTGTAAGCCACAAGTGGCAAGTGTCCTAGTTTACACGGTACTATGCAGGGATCCCAACCTGAAAGAAGCACTTTCAGGGAGGTGTCCCTCTCATTTCCATTGAGAGTTGAGATGTCTGACTATGTAATGTAAAGTTATAGGGGGGAATTGATCAAAACTGATCAGCATCTCTCTTCAGTTTGCTCAAGTAAGATTTGAAAATGAGAGAGAGAAACTGACTTTATCAGGGGGGAATTTATCAAAACTGGAGCAGACAGAATCTGCAGATTTGCACTGATTGGCTGCAGTGCAAATCTGCTCCAGTTTTGATAAATTCCCCCCATAGCACCGATTGGCCAATCACATGTTTCTCCGTACCAGGAAGTATTTTCTTTGGCTCCTGGCAATGAATGGAGCAGCGAAGGTAAATATATGGTCATAGGAAAAGGACAACATAAATCAAAAATGTGCATTGCCCTTTCAATCAGGTCATAGAGGACCAAGGGCGATCACACATGCCTTCCTAGCAACTGTTCCTCATATAGGGGGACTGTCACTTGGAACCAAATTCCTTTGATCCTCTTTCTTCCTCAGTTGTCCCGCTTTTTGGTCTGATGTACAGATATCTATGAAAATGTACTATTTGTACCAAAAGTAGGAATGCACCGATACTCTGGGCCTGGCCTTAGGGGTGTGCGAGCAGTGCGGCCGCACAGGGCGCCATGGCAACAAGGGCGAAAAGGGTGTGGCCACTGAGGGGTGTGGTCACTGAGGGGCAACGTAAAGCTTTCTCGCCCAGGGCGCCTAAAGGCCTAAGGCCGGCCCTGCCGATACTGATACTAGTATCGGTGCCAATACTGAGTATTTGGGTGAGTACTCGTACTCGCCCACAGGGCCGGCCTTAGGGGTGCGCAGCCGCACAGGCAGACATCCCAACCTGCAAAACCTTATTTCAGGGAGGTTCCCGTCTCATTTCAGGGAGGTGCCCTTTCTGTTTTATCGTTTTTTTTACAGCGGCCGTCGTCAGAATATAAAAGAAATAAATGCACAGAGAGGGCGGACATAGACTACTATTGAGAGCAGGTACAGGCACTGAGATCTACTGCTGCAGAGTTTAGAGAGTGCTGTTAACCCTTTATGGATAATATAGAATAAATTATATGTCCTGGTTTTCTAGTTATAGAGAACATTTATTTCATTTGCTGCCCATAGCAACTAGTCAACTGTGTATCAGGGACTTTACTCCTCAGCTTTTATATATAAATAAATACTAAAAAAATAAAAAATTATGAAACAAAATTATAAAAAATTTAAAAATTATTTTTTAAAAGTGAAAACTGCCCCCCTCGCCCCCCCCCCACACATATATTATTAGACATGTGCGAGGAGACTAAAAATTAATTTCAGATGAAATGAACGAAAACTAAAAAAGTTTTCATTTGTTTCATCAAACAAAACACATTTTTATGCTATTTTGGATTCAGCCATTGGCGTGTTCTGGAGGCAGGGCGCATGATGTCATATAACACAGCACGTGACCACAGAACACGCCGGTGGCCAACATTCTCAAACAAATGATTATGCGCCTGAATATATTTTTCGTATATTCAGATTCATTAATTTACACGTAGTCCGGGTTTTGTGTTCTGTTTTTTATTTTTACTTTTCTAGATGAAAAAAGGGATCGGCATGACAACCGGATACTTTATTTTTATAGACAGGGGCACTGTAAAACTTTCTCGCACAGGGCGCCTAAAGGCCTAAGGCCGGCCCTGCTCGCCCAAATGCTCTGATACTTACCCCCGATACCGGAACTTTCTGTCAGAAGGAGATTTCCTCTGACCGACAGTGCCGCGAGGGAACATGGATCCGGCTTCCTGGCCAATAAGGAAGCCGGGTGGCGGGTAATGACTCGCCACCCGGCTACCTGATTGGCCGAAAGAGCAGCTCCATGTTGTTTGGTCAGCTGAATGCTGATTGGCTGGGAAGCCAGCTTCCCAGCCAATCAGCATAGAGCCGGCCAAAAAGCATGGAGCAGGCTTCCTGAGCAATTAATAAGCTGGGCGGCGTGTCAGTACCCGCCACCCGGCCTCTTGATTACCCGGGAAGCAAGCTCCATGCTAGTGGAAGTACCGCTATCATCAAGTACTAAAAGATAAATATCGGTGCTGGTACTCGATACCGAAAAACCAGTATCGGTGCATCCCTAACCAAAAGTATCATTCTGCACTAAAACATAATGAGGGGAATTTATCAAAATTGGAGCAGCTAAAATCTAGAGCAGTTGTGCATGAGAACCAATCAGATTCTCTCTTCAGTTTTGTTCAGTTAAGATTTGAGAATGAAAGAGAGAAGCTGATTGGTTGCCATGCACAACTGCTCCAGATTTTAGCTGCTCCACTTTTGATAAATTCCCCTCAATGTATTTAGGAAATGGAAACACCCCTGCCACGCCTCCATTTATGCCGACCATTAAAGTGACACTAAACTCAGTAATTAAAACTTAAAAATACATTCAAGGACTTAAACTATTAACAGAAATGTATCTTATTTGTGTATCACTCGGCTGTAGATCCTCAAATCATCTCTGAATTGGTGCTGACACAGTCCTTCCTTCTGGAGGGGGGCTACTTTTGTTCCACATGGTCCCTGTGTGTGTTGTAAAGTAGTCACCGCTCCAAGCTCACTCTTGTGATGGACTACAATCTCAATACAAATTAGTAAACTAAACATGAGATTGTAGTCCATCATGGGAGGGAGCTTGGAGCGGTGGAAAGACAGTGTCAGCATGAATTCAGAGATGATTTGAGGATTTATAGCCGAGTGATGCTGAGTTTACTATCACATTAAGAATTTATATGGAAAAACATGATTGGTTAAACCCAGAATTGTTTTTTTTTTACCATTACTTTTCCATTATATTGACGTTTTGAAATGGCAAACAAGATAACTAAGAGATAAGATGAAGGTTTTACTGCAGATCAAAAAGTTCTAGCACCACCTTCACTATACCAATTACTATCTACCCTTCTCCAAAAAAACAAAAACAAACTTGTCTCCAGTAATTGCTCACATATAAAACTAATAGTTAACCCCTTTCCATCGATAACACCACCCCCAGCCCACTAAGAGGATTGTAACGCTGGAGGTGTCCTCTTGGGCTTCATGATCATGTGATTACTGTTAATCGGCTGATCATGTGATAACGATCGTTGCTAAGTGACCAGGAGCTGTCGTTGACAGCGCAGTCACAGCGCTGGGGGCGTGCAATTGACCGTGCTCCCAGCACAAACAGCCACAATGGCCATATGCAGGGCCGGATTTCCAACAAGGCCAACCAAGGCCCGGCCTTGGGGCAGCAGGGAGTAGAGGGGCAGCAGGGTTGTGGAATTCCTATCTCCCGATGCAGTTCCAGGCGCCAGGCGCTTAGTTCTTTTCTACTTTTAGCCCTGCTTTGGGCAACCAGAACTAAATGTACAGCGGGGAAGCCAAGATCACTTGTATGCAGCCTGCAGGGCTGCATGGGGTAAGGGGGCACATTGAGGAACCTGGCCTTGGGGCACCAGAGAGAGTAAATCCGGCCCTGGCCATATGCATATATGTGACAACCTGCAATAAAGACCACTGCTGTACTTCCACATACATGCACATGTTCTGTGGTAAGGGGTTAAAGGGAGAAGGGGAGGAAGGAGTTAATAATGACTGATTTGGGTTAGATGGGGAACAACTTTTATTAAAAAGTATAAAATATCTTCAGATTACATAAAAATAATTGGTTAAATGTAATATTGCCAAAAAGTCCTTGTTATCCAAAAATCTTTAAATATATGACTTAGGTAATATAAAAGTAATGACAAAATGATTGCCAAGTTAACAGGCCCATAGCTGACAAGTAAAAGTGACCCCATAAAGGAGTTTGTACAGGTGCAGGGTCGGAAAGGGTTAAGGTCCATGGACATTTCCAGGGTTCCCCTCCTGCACTGGGAACCCCCCTGGACAGCTCTTGCATTTGGCCGCTGCAGTTCACCCCTCACTTCCGGGTTCGGCTTCAGCCGAGAACGTGGGCATGGCCGCCTCATCCAATCACAAGCGAGGATCTCTGCCCCCTGTCACACAGCGACCAATCCGAGGTAAAGTGAGAAGCGCCCACTCAGAATACGCGTGCCTTTGGCGGACGTGTATTGGTTGGCCGGACTCAGCAGGCTAGTGTGCGGCAGCTTGTAGTGTTTGATGTCACCGTGCAGGCTCCACAGGAGTGGATGTGAGTTATGTGTGGTGTCATGGCTGACAGTTTGGGGTGAGGTGATGGAGGGGGGTTGTGGGGTAACTGGGCAATTCCTGGGTTCAAGGAGTGCATGCTGTGCCCTCGTCCCTAATAACACAGAGAGCATGTTACTTACTGCAGCATGGGACACCTGTATGTATTCAAGTTAGTTGCTAGGCTTACTTAAAGAGGACCTGTCATCAGTGGGTGTGACATGGAATAAATCTGGTGCTGATGCTGAGCCCATGTTCCTCTGAAATCACATGGTGCTGTGTTGTTCTGCTGTCTTGCATGTCATTCTTACTGATGACAGGTCCTCCTCCAAGAGTACCTGTCACCCTACACAGTACAGGGAGGCATTTTGTGGGTTAATCAGTATTGGACAGTGTGGTATGAGGCACTTGGTGACTTGTGCCCCCTTGGTGTCACTGTGAAGGGTGACAATCTGAGCAGGCGCTCTGTGCCAGGACCCCCGGCTTTGCAGTGCCAACACTGATGGGTAAATGGCTGAACCTGGATAAATGAAATAACTATTCCATAATGGCCGACAGCATTTCACAATGTCGGTATTTCTGATCCAATCTGATCTCATAGTATTGTTACAATGTATCAGTTCATACTAAAGTAGTATCAAGTCGTAGTGATGTCACCATGTCCTTATAGAGCGATAGGCTGTGTTATGGCATGTGATGTCCTTATAGAGGGATAGGCTGTGTTATGTCATGTGATGTCACCATGTCCTTATAGAGGGATAGGCTGTGTTATGTCATGTGATGTCACCATGTCCTTATAGAGGGATAGGCTGTGTTATGTCATGTGATGTCCTTATAGATGGATAGGCTGTGTTATGTCGTGTGATGTCACTATGTCCTTATACAGGGATAGGCTGTGTTATTTCATGTCACTATGTCCTTATAGAGCAGCGGTTCTCAACCTGTGGGTCGCGACCCCGTCGGGGGTCGAATGACGATTTTCCAGGGGTCACCTAAAGACATCCCAACTCTCCCGGACGCTCCGGGAGTCTCCCTCTATTAGATAGCATTTTTATTTTATGACATCGAAGCCGCAGTCAGTCAGAAAAAAAGCAGAAAAAAAAGCATAGGAATGCATAGCTAAATTCCTATTGGCTATTTCACGTTGCAATAGCCAATAGCAAACTAGCTATTGCACCCGCCCTCTGCTTCTGTCAATCAGCAGAAGGGGACCTGAAGTTCTCCATCAGGTCCTCTTCTAGTGATTGACAGCAGCAGAGGGCGGGTGCGAAAGCCAGCTTGCTAATGGATATTGCAAATTGAAATAGCCAATAGGAATCTAGCTATGCATTCCTATGCTGTTTTTTTTGTCTGACTGACGGCGGCCGGCGGCTCCGATGTCAGAAAAAAAAAAAAACCAGAGCAGGGAAAGGTTTACTCTGCTTGATCGAGCAGAGTAAACCTTTCCGGGAGAAAGCTATCTAATAGTTATCTATTGGTAGCAAAATTACAGCGATGGAGGAGCAACAAAAATAATGTTGCTGTTAGGGGTCGCCACAACTTGGACTTTGTTATCAAAGGGTCGCGGCACTAGAAAGGTTGAGAACCGCTGTTATAGAGGGATAGGCTGTGTTAATGGATAGGCTGTATTATGTCACATGATGTCCCCATGTTCTTATAAATCAGGGGTGTCCTAACTTTTTTCAAAGACAGCCAGATTTGATGAAGTGAACATGCGTGAGGGCCGACCATTTTGCCTGACATTCTTTGAACCATTAAAATTAAATGCAAATTAACTATTTTATGCAAAGTTTATTGCAAACGGCATACTTTTCATTTTGTCACATGGATGACAGATCCAAACAGGTGTTAAATCACTCTGCCTTTCATATCTGAAGGCCAGATGAAAAAAAAATCCAGGAAGCCGAAATATATGTCAGGAACATTGTAGGGGGTACATGACATATTATTGGTAATAAAGGTCGTCTGTCAACTTTTAAGTTCAAAAAATATGAACAGGAACATAACACCAAGTATACACGTTGTGTCCAAATATATTTATAACTGATTTAGACCCACTGACATTAACTGAGATTTTACAATGTATTCATCTCAATTGAAAGAAAAAACTTGCCTGCACTAATGTGAAGGGTGAAACTGAGATCTGGACTGCAGCACATAGGCTAGGTCTGGTTCAAAGGCAGTGGTTTCAATGCGCAAAATGTCACGCAGGTGAGAGTCACTTAGTCTTGTCCTTACGCGCACTGAGAAGGAAAGCACCAAATCCCGCGACGTTCCGAGAGATCGCGAGAACGCCGACTGAGGACGTGCAGTTCCGCGGCGTTGAGAGATCCAGAGATCCCAGGGGTCCTGAGCGGCGCTCGGGATTCACTGGGGGCCACAACCGATAGATTTTGCCAAATTACCTGTGGGGCCTATTAAACCGGAACACGGGCCGCAATTGGCCCGTGGGCTGGACTTTGGACATAACTGTTATAGCCATGTGATGTCCTTTATAGAGGGATAGGCTGTGTTATGTCATGTGATGTCCTTATAGAGGGATAGGCTGTGCTATGTCATGTGAACACCTTACATTGGTAAACAGTGGGAAGAATACCCTTAATTGGTGTTCATTGGGCAGAATACCCTTATATTGGTGGCCAGTGGGAAGAATACCATTACTTTGGTGGCCAGTGGGAAGAATACCATTACTTTGGTGGCCAGTGGGAAGAATACCCCTACATTTGGGGCCAGTGGGAAGAATACCCTTACATTCGGGGCCAGTGGGAAGAATACCCTTACATTCGGGGCCAGTGAAGAATACCCTTACATTCGGGGCCAGTGGAAGAAAAACCCTTACATTGGTGGTCAGTGGGAGGAACCCCTTACATTGGTGGTCAGTGGGAGGAAAACCCTTACATTGGTGGTCAGTGGGAGGAAAACCCTTGCATTGGTGGTTAGTGGGAAGGACACCCTTACATTGGTGGTCAGTGGGAAGGACACCCTTACATTGGTGGTCAGTGGGAGTAAAGCCCTTACATTGGTGGTCAGTGGGAGGAAAGCCCTTACATTGGTGGTCAGTGGGAGGAAAGCCCTTACATTGGTGGTCAGTGGGAAGGACACCCTTACATTGGTGGTCAGTGGGAAGGACACCCTTACATTGGTGGTCAGTGGGAAGGACGCCCTTACATTGGTGGCCAGTGGGAAGTACACCCTTACATTGGTGGCCAGTGGGAAGTACACCCTTACATTGGTGGTCAGTGGGAGGAAAACCCTTACATTGGTGGTCAGTGGGAATAATGCTCCTTACATTGGTGGTCAGTGGGAAGGATACCCCCTTTTTGGGCACTAGCAGAAATTGCTAATAGATGGATAGGCCATGTTGTGCCACAGATTGATGTCATAAACATCATGTCTTTATCCCCATAAATGCCCCCCGCCATTTTTTTTTGTTCAGCATAAATGACTAAAGGTTACATTTACACATGGAAGCCTGCTGATCGTTGTGTAGCTGTATAGTGAAGTAATAGTTTAGTTTGCTGCCATGTTTGTAACTTATATATACAGAATCATTTGAAATGGAACGTTTGTTGTCCGGAGTACAGGAATCAGCTATTGATGTAGAAACGCTGAAGTGGAGGTGATTATCAGAGTGGGGAGGCTGCCCGTAGTAGCCAATCAAATCAATTATGATTTTTCCAGTCTTGCACATGCGAAGCCTCCTGCTCTCTTGGACTGACCATACACAGCCTGGTAAAAGCGAGCATAAAAAGGACATTGACCATCCCTTGAAATAATCATGTTTCCTAAAACCTCTGATTGTCACTCATGGTTCACATTGCACACAATATTCTCCAGTATACTGGTAGATATCTGTGCATACTTTAGCTTGATCTTCCTTTCAGGGAGCTCTTGGTGGTCAGACCAGAAAAAAAGAATGTCAGATGTGTTACTGGCTTTTGCTCTTAGTGAGACCTCGTCTCCTTTTCCAATCCACATACTTATGGGGGCTTCAACCCCTTACACATTAGTGCCACTAAATACTAGCAGTCCGGAGGGGACTGCGATTATGAACCCCACGTTTGTGCCCTCTGAGTAGCTGAGAACACCCTTGACTTCGCTTATGCCCTCATTACTGCAGGAAATGGTATGTGTTATCTGCCCATAGACCTAGAGCAGTGGTGGTCAACTTACTTCATAGAGGCCCTAGACCAAAATAGGCAGTTAACCCTTTGCAAAGTGGGAGTAGCCCCACTGAAAGGGTTAATTTTTACAACTCTTGGAGTTCCTCTATAAAAAAAGTTTGTCGAGCTGGGTGGGGCAGACAGAGCTACTTAAGTTCCAGCTGATGCACAAGAGTCACCCGAAATGTAAGCCATGTATGGCCAGTTATAGGGGTCTCAGGTGCACCCCCTGATATCACCAAAGGGCCGCACATAAAATTACATGAGACGCTAGAGATGCATGACCAGGGCCGGATTTCCCACAAGGCCAACCAAGGCCTGCCGTTGGGGCAGCACTGAGTAGAGGGGCAGCAGGGGTGTGAAATTCCTATCTCCCGACGCCCAGGACATGCAGTTCTGGGAGCCGGGCGGGTAGTTGTTTTCTACATTTAGCCCTGATGTGATCAAAAAGGGCTAAATGTACTGCAGGGAAGCTGCCACTTGTTTTGTACAAGTGATCTAGGCGATGTCGCCGAGATCACTTTTATGCAGCCCGAATACAGGGGGGCGCATTGAGGAACCTGGCATTGGGGCAGCAGAGATAATAAATCTAAGAGAATTATTTATGTCCTTTACGTTCTGATTACCTAGACGAAGACGAAGACACAAACCACTGCAGAGAGGTCTTGCCATTGTCTGTTGGCCATACGCAGTGCAAACTGGTTGTAGAATATTCTTCTGATCCACCAAGAACTTCGTAGTATGAGGACCTGCCTGGTTGCATATGGATTGAATTGTTTTTTTGGGATGGCCCCTGCTATACTTACCTGTTGGTAAAGATTGTGAAGCCAACAGTTTTCTAACCTGCCCGTCCCCTCCTAGACATGAGATACTGTGTTAGGTGTCAGCTTTAGAACAGCTTTTCATCCTTTGGACCGACTTACATTATAATTTTTTACATTTTCTGTTTCTTAGAGCAGGATTGATGTGGATAGAAGGAACGCTTAACCTCTGGGCTCCGGCATCCGTCACCCGTATGGCATCTGACCTGAGGGCACTGACACGCCCTCCCCTCCATCATCCAGACCATTCAACGTCATGCTCATTACCCTCTGCTACGTATACTTGTGGCTGCGCTACCGTTCCTCCCACGCATTGCTGATCCGGAGCTGCGTGCGCCAGTTCCATAGGACCAGTTCCTTCACGTTTTGCACCCATCCTCAGGAAACCGGGAAAAAGAACCATAGCGGAGCACAGGGACCCGGCGAGGATAAGTTCTACCTGCATTTGGGCAACAAAGCCTTTCTCATTGACAGTGCCCAGGTATTTTCTGTTTTCACCTTGCAAATCCAACCTCTAGGGTGGCCCATGATTCTTGGGGTTCTTCCACTTTAACTCTTCTGTGTATACTCTTCTTTCTTTATAGTTTTTTATTTTGCTTTTCTGCTGTCCACTATAGTTTTGTTTCAGCGTGTTCCAAACTTTTGTTGGTTATGCATCACCTACACCTGGACTTTAAAATGAACGCATATTATGGCAAAATAACCAATGTACCTTCCAACCTGCCCCATCCAATACTGATAACTTGCCTTCCCCACGCTCTTCCACCACCTCATTCGCCTGCCAGAGCATAGAGAATTAACCCTTTGTTAGCTATAAGTTTGCGCTTACACAGGCCAAAGGTCTTTCCCCCTGCCCGGGAGTGACAGTGCTTTAGCTTTTCAGTTGGATGTTCTGGTGTGGAGAGTTGCATCATGAGAGGAATGAGGGGAAGTCACATGCTTGAAAGTACCAAGTATTTCACTGGCCTCTGGCGAGCATATAGGATGGCAGCAGAGTGCCGGAATGGTAAGTATCTACAGCAGGAGGAAGTCTGTTATGTCAACCCTTTACTTTGCCTGATTGGTAAAATACTCGTTTGAAACTTTTCCCATACAGTGCAAAAGCAATGGGTTTGTTTTAGTTTAGCCCGCCCCCAGCAGCATACTGTATATTTACCTTTCTTTCCCTCCACCACCGCTCTGTTCAGGTCTTTAAAGATGAGGCTTACAAAAGGCTATCGCCTCTGATTGGCCCAGCACTGTCACATGGTCTTGCTCACATGCTTCTTCATATCCAGAAGTACAGGATATTTTTTCTCTTTTGGCTCCCAATACTTAGTGTGAGCCGCAGAAGTAAAGAAAAGGTAAATATGTGCTGGGAAGGGACAGGGGATTAAAGGACACCTGTTACTTTGCCTTGAATATACAAAGTATAGGTTACTTTAATGTGTATGTTAACCCGAACAATGAACTTCTCTTATTTGGTACTTTTTAGTCTATTAAATACTATGTTAAATATACCACTGAAAGCATATAATTGGACAAATTGTTGGCACCCTTCCGGGAAAATAGAAGAACATCCAATTTTCTCTGAAATAACTTGCAACTGACAAGTAATTGGCATCTGTTCTTTATTTCATCCTTAAAGGAGAACTATGGGGTCAGTGTTTTTCCCCATAGTTCTCCTTAGGGTAACGGGAGGACACAAACTAGCGTCCTCCTGTTACCCTAAGCTCAGTATACCGCGACCTACAGCTCGCGGTATACTGAGACGCCGCACCTGGAGCGGATCCCGATGTAGATGACGGGATCCGCCCAGCTACGTGAGTGACAGCTGGCTCTGCCTATCTAGAGGCAGAGCCAGCTGTACCCGCCCCCTCCCCGTCCGTTCCGCCAGTGAGCGCTGGCAGATCGGATCGGGAAGAGGGGAATCCAGCCCCTCCCCCTGTCACGGCAGAGAGCCGTGACAGGATCGAGAGGTGAGGGAACCCGGTATGTGTTTGCTCACCTCCCGATCTACTGAGGCGACCTGTGACAGTCTCATTGTCACAGGTCGGCTTAGAACTATGAGGTGAATGGAAATCACTCATCTCATAGTTCTCCTTTAGCAATTTCTGTGGCTCTCAATGGGACTTTTGCACCTGCTAACAGATAGTTTGGCCCACTGTTCTTAAGTAAAGTGCTTCCGCTGTCTTGGCTTTGAGGCCCCGTTCACATTGGGCGATTTGGATTTTGCGTAAAATCACGCGATTTGTCGCGTGATATCGCGCAAATGCTTGCATTGAGCAAGCGAGAATCGCGGCAAAATCCGCTCCAAAAAGGGTCCTGCTGTAGCGACACACGACCCGCGACAGCAGGACCATTTGCCCCATTGAGATGCATTGAAGAGCGATATCGCACGGTAAAAAGCCGCGATATCGCGAATGGGGCCTGAATGGGGCCTGAAGGTGGCTTCTCCAGACCGCATGTTTCAGCCCTTCCCATGTTTTGGGATTGAAGATGAGGAAGGCCACTTTGATAGTCTAATGTTTTGTTCTTAGCCATTTGTGGGTGCTTTTAGCTGTGCTTTATGGCCATCCTGTTGGAGGACTTATAACCTGCGACTGAGACAGAGGTTTCTAAACTTGGGCAGTATGTTTTGCTCCAAAGTTCCTTTATAGTCTTAAGATTTAATTGGGCCCTACACAGACTGACGGTACCCCGTGCCAGACGCAGCAAAGCAGCTCCAAAACATAACTGAGCCTCCTCCATGCTTCACAGTAGGTATGGTGTTCTTTTCTTTTAAAGCTTTATTTTTTCATCCGTTAACATATAGTTGATGTGACTTGCTAAAAAGCTCCAGTTTTGTCTCAGCTGTCCCTCAGAAGCATTGGCATGGCTTCTCAATATGCATTTTTGCAAATTCCAGTCTGGCTTTTCTTTACATTTTTCTTTCAACAGTGCAGTCCTCCTGGATCTTCGTCCTGTGAGCCCATTGTCGCTCAAAAAGCGATCGATTGGGCAGTCAGTCTCTGATGTACCTTGACCTTCAGCTTACATCTCTTTGGAAGTTTTCCTTGGCTCTTTGTTTACAATTCGCACTATCCACCTGTTCAATGTTCTATTGGCTGCCACGTCCAGAGCGGTTGGCTACACTCCCATGGACCTTAAACTTCTGAATATTTGCAGCTGTAGTCTCAGGAACATCAAGCTGCTTGGAGATGATCTTATAACTTTTATCTTTGACAAATGCTGGTAAAAAATGTTCTTTCTGATCTTCTCAGACAACTCTCTCTCTCTCTCTCTCTCTCTCTCTTCGCTTTCTCTGGTCCATGTTCAGTGTGGTGCACATGATGATACCAAACAGCAGAATTATGACTTTTCTCTATTTAAATAGATTGAGTGACGGGTTACAAGATTGAAGATGTGTGTGATACTAATTACAGAAATATCACTATGATCCAATTATTTATAATCTTTTCTCGGGGGACCAACAAATCTGTCCAGGCCATGTTAGAATATCTTTGTAGAATAAGCAATCGCATTTGCTTTGCTTTACTTTATCATATGCCAAAGGCATGCAGGTAAACATGCGGCCACTGCTTTTAATTTCATCAGTTTTTAGCTGACTGAGGCATTGTTTTAATGAGCTGTAGGGGTACCAACAACTTTGCCCATGTCTGTGTCTGTTCAATTTAGTGCAAAAAAAATACCTGTTGATGCTGCCAGAAATCCAGTGCTGTCCTGTGCACTCTGCAGTCTTATCAGCGCTGTCCAGTTTATTCTGTGAACCGCAGAACTCCTCCCCCTGATATCACTAGATAAAGTGCTCCTGCTGTCTTAGGTTTGAAGGTGCCTTCTCCAGACCGCATGTTTCAGCCCTTCCAATGTTTTAGGATTCAGATGAGGAAGGCCACTTTGATAGTCTCATGTTTTGTTCTTAGCCATTTTTGGGTGCTTTTAGCTGTGCTTTTTGGTCATTATCCGGTTGGAGGACTTATGACCTGCGACTGAGACCGAGCTTTCTGAACTTGGGCAGTACGTTTTGCTCCAGAGTTCCTTGATAGTCTTGAGATTTAATTGTGCCCTACACAGACTGAAGGTACCCCGTGCCAGACGCAGCAATGCAGCTCCAAAACATCAGCCCTGCCCAGTTTATTATGTGAACCACAGAACTCCTTCCCCTGATATCACTAGAAGAGCAAAGGGAGGTGTTCGGTATCCATAAATCCCTAGCACTTCCTGTCCTAGGGTGATGACGTTGTTCCTCCATAGATACAGTACAGTGACTGAGCGTTGTCTCTCTCTGGGACAAGAAGTGTGTTACTGGCAGGGTCAACAGGTGAAAATATGGGTAAAAAAAGACTAATATACCCACCACATCTAAGGACTGTAAAGCTACAATATATTATATGTTGAGGTGTTTTACTGCATACCTGTGTGGTTTGATGTAATGTAACATTGGTGAAGAGTCCCTGAGTTTAATGAACAGCGTGTTTCTGATGTCCCCTTCTTTTTTCAGTGCTTTGAAGATTTGAATAAGTGGAAGCTGTTACTTGGATCTCCCAGCGATAGAGATCTAGAGGCCAGGCAAATCACCTTTATTACTGAGAGTGTCTCATTACCCAGCGAGACCTTATCAGCTGCATCACACTCTAACAAAAAGGTGAGCCTTTGCTTTGCTGTCCTTTGTGTCTTAGTTTCCACTCTTGTTGTGTAAATCTTTCAGCTCAACGTTTGAATAGGCAGAATTCTTCCCCATATAAACAGAAAAGGGGGGGGGGGGCATTAGTGGGGATTTCTATATAGTAAACATTTTGTCTGAATTTGTCTCTGCAAATCCACAGCTTATCCTTCATTTTTGGTACATTTTTAATTGTAATAAATAGCCCTTTTCACTATAACTTGTATGGGTTGTACTGTATTGTTGGGTCCCAAGCCTTACTCCGTATACTCCACTGATGATGGCCAAAAAGCCTGAAATATTTGTAGGCAGTTAGGAATGAATGGCTCTATCATATTAGGCTATACTTGCAATATACACTAGCGGCTCTGGTTCTGCATCTGGCTCATGGGGCATAAAGGAAAGATTTGCTCACTGTCCTGAAATTAGGAATAGTTCTCTCATTGTAGCATTTTTTACAAAGTGAGACATGTGAATTCTTCTTTTCTTTACTGTGGTATGCACTGAAAAAAAGTGGGGACTGTTTGATTCCTTTAGTCCTTTTTCACCATAACCTCTGGGTTATACTGTCTTGTTGGGTTCCACGCCCTACTCCATAGAAACCTTGTTTCTCATACATTGTACTGTCCAAGCCCTACTCCATAGAAGCCGTGCTTCCCATACTCTGTATTGTCTAAGCCCTACTCCATAGAAGCCATGCTTCCCATACATTGTACTGTCCAAAACCTACTCCATAGAAGCCATGCTTCCCATACACTGTATTGTCCAAGCCCTACTCCATAGAAGCCTTATTTCCGGTACAATGTACTGTCCAAGCCCTACTCCATAGAAACCATGTTTCCCGTACATTGTACTGTCCAAACCCTACTCCATAGAAGCCATGCTTCCCATACACTGTATTGTCCAAGCCCTACTCCATAGAAGCCTTATTTCCGGTACAATGTACTGTCCAAGCCCTACTCCATAGAAGCCATGTTTCCCGTACATTGTACTGTCCAAGCCCTACTCCATAGAAGCCTTGTTTCCCATACATTGTACTGTCTAAGCCCTACTCCATAGAAGCCATGCTTCCCATACACTGTATTGTCCAAGCCCTACTCCATAGAAGCCTTGTTTCCCATACATTGTACTGTCCAAGCCCTACTCCATAGACTGCCTGACTTCCGGTTTAGTTAGAACGAAGAGGTTTGTCCATAGAGGCCATGTTTCCCATACATTGTACTGTCCAAGCCCTACTCCATAGAAGCCATGTTTTCCGTAGATTGTACTGTCCAAGCCTTACTCCATAGAAGCCTTGTTTCCCATACATTGTACTGTCCAAGCCCTACTTCATAGAAGCCTTGTTTCCCATACATTGTACTGTCCAAGCCCTACTTCATAGAATCCTTGTTTCCCATACACTGTACTGTCCAAGCCCTACTCCATAGAAGCCATGTTTCCCATACGTTGTACTGTCCAAGCCCTACTCCATAGAAGCCTTGTTTCCCATACATTGTACTGTCCAAGAACTACTCCATAGAATCCTTGTTTCCCATACATTGTACTGTCCAAGCCCTACTCCATAGAAGCCATGTTTTCCGTAGATTGTACTGTCCAAGCCCTACTCCATAGAAGCATTGTTTCCCATACATTGTATTGTCCAAGCCCTACTTCATAGAAGCATTGTTTCCCATACACTGTATTGTGAAGGACTAGACATGTAACCATGCACATCATCTCAGGGGAGGAAAATGCCTTTCCCTGAGATTACAGATGAGATTTCCCAGCAATACTCTGCTGATGACAAGGCAATCCCAGTGTGTATTGCTCTGGCAAACTGAAGTCATTTTGCCCTTTCAAAGCAGGAAGTGAATACTCTGCAAGTGTAAGTATTTCACAATCACAGCATTTTACACCTGACATGTCTATGTTATTATTAATCATCATACATAGAGGGATGCATTGGTAGAATTTGATTTTTGAGTGTAAAGGTCCGCTTTATCATGGGTTTTCCTTTCACTTTGCCCTGACATACAGTTTAATAAGCAACTACTACCCAGCAGTCGGGTACTCCATTAGTCCATGGGACCTGAAGAAGGCTCGTCATGACTCGATGACTTTGTAATCAGCTTTGGTTTATTTACTCTCTCGCCCTGGGGTTGCCTGTCCAGTCCTTTGCTGCAGAAGTGGGACAAAGAAAGCACTGTGGGTTATCATGTGTCTAGCCAAGAGAGGAGAGCCCTCTCTCCAGACACAATGGCCCCTGAATGGAGCCCGTTGTGGGAAATCCTCTTGTTTAGAGCCAGGCTTGCTTCCTTTGCTTTGATCCCTCTATCCATCTACCTGCTTATATCCCTATCGAGTCACAGGAAGAGATTTTCCTGTTTACTTTCAGCCTGACTGCCTGGGAAGCTTGTCTTGTACCTGGTCTTCAGCGTGACATGACAAGGCTTTGATCAGGTTTCCTCCTCCTTGTTTTGGTTGTTCTACAACTTATGTCTTGACATTATTGGTTATGGATCATGCACTTGGCTGCAGAATGGCGACACAATCCAGAGGATATTATCTCTGCAGAAGGAGGAGATATAGAGGAATTCTTGTCTCATGGTTGTTGAATTTGCTTTTGAATTTCAGTAGACTGAAAAATTTGTATATTAGAATCCACTGCGTTTTTTTTCAATGCAAATTCCCATATATATCTTTCTGACATATAGCGAGTTCTCTGCTATACACTGCATCCCCATCTTACACAGACCATCTCACGGGGTCAGTAGGTGAGCAGTAGGAGTGTACTACCTGATAACTGTGCTTTACAATGTCCTTTCTGCTTCTTGCATCACCCGTCATATTCAAACTTCTATATATGAGGGACATCAAACTTGTACCAGGATCCCTAGCAGGTGTATTCCAGAATCAACAGCAGGTATGTTCCAGGATCACCAGTTATCAACCCAAGGGATTAAGCTGAACTAGTGCACTACAGCAATATGCCTGAATTAAAAACTGAAGTACTGGGTTGGTAGGTTCTGCTTCCTGTAGGCATCTCAAAGATTACACTTCAGTTTAGGCAGGAGTGTCCTTTTAAGCTTGTCAAGTTCAGGACGCACAATGAAGATGTCCCAGTGCATTCAGAATGCCACAGGATTTGATAACCTTTTATGATCACCGGCATTTTCATTCAACCTATATATCAGATATGTTTTTAAAGACAGCACAATGTTAAAGTATATTATATAGTATAAAGGCATAGAGTGGGTGATAAAACCTCTGTCATATTTATTGTCACTTGTGTTTCATTGGGGAGCTTTCCCTTTACTTCCTGTTCTTTAACCTCCCTGGCGGTCTGATTATTTCCTTTTTTTGTTTCTTTTTTTTACTTTTAAATTTCCCGCCGGTGTTCTATCGAAAGTTCCAACTTATCGAGTTCTCCAACTGCCTGACTTCCGGTTTAGTTAGAACGAAGAGGTTTGGGCAAGAAAGCTCTTCTGCACGAGAGCAAGTCGCGGCTTTGCCCTATACACATACACCACATGAAGAATTAAAATGAACTAGGATCACACTAATCCAGCCCGTTATTAATCTCCGCTGCCCCACTCAATATGGCCGCCGCTTGAGTGGGGCACCGGAGATTAATAACCTGCTGGATTACTGTGATCCTAGTTCATTTTAATACTTCATTGCTGTGGTGTATGGGTACAGGGCAATGCCGCGGCTGGTGCTCGTGCAGAAGAGCTTTCTTGCCCAAACCTCTTCGTTCTAACTAAACCGGAAGTCAGGCAGTTGGAGCTTTCGATAGAACACCGGTTCTGCCCCCTGCGACGCAAACGCTCGCAAGGGACGGAAGACGGATGCCGGCATTGGCCGGAGGACACAGCTGGGATCGTTGGCAAGGTTATTAACGCGCTATGTAATCCCGAGTGTGGCTCGGGGTTACCGCTTTTGGTAATTAAAATTAACCCCGAGCCACACTCGGGAATACCGCCAGGGAGGTTAAAAACAATCCTTGCTAAAGCTGATCATAGACAACACAGACAACAATAAAAACGTAACAGTGGTTCTAACCCTTCCTTACTATCAAAAGCTAAAATAAAATGTTTTGTCTTTAGAGGCAAGTCGGAATTGTTTCCTCACAGCGCCGGGTCCAGAATTAAGTTCTCACTTGGAACACTCTCTAGCAGAAAGATGAAAGTATCTGATGAAAGTTTGGTTCTAAAGCTCCTTTGGGCTGGGACTTCCGTAGGTGGTAAATAGGTCTTTCTGAAGATGCCTGAAGATAAAGTGGGGGGGAGCAAAGGAATTTTCATCTAGTGGCCATAATGTGTCGAGGAGCATAGGAATTTCCTGTTCTCTTTGGCTCTATATAGTGGCCATAATGCAGTGCAAATCTAAAAGCCAGATGTACGCGAACAGCTCTATGAACATTTTATAGAGACACCCCTTAGTATTGTACACAAACAGAGTTGGCTTGGTTTGCTAAGGAAATTAAAGCATGTTCACTTTGCAAAGTGTGTTTTCACTTGGCTCAGTTAATATGGTAAAGCTGTGTTCACTTTGTACACCCAGTCATGTGCAGGTGAGTTTCCTCCCACACTCCAAAGGTTTGTTGGTAGGTTAATTGGCTCCTGTATAAATTGGCACTAATATGTATGTACAGTATGTATGTATGTGAGATAGGGGGCATAGATTGTGAGCTCCTTGAGGGCAGGGACTAATGTGACTGTATAGAATGCAATGTGCTGTGTAGATTGTCGGTGCAATATAAATACCTGTAATAAATAATGAGTCGTCTCATTTTCTCTGTGTTCCAGGTTCGGAATCTGTCTGAGTATTGCCTCCCTTTGGCTCTGTGTCATGAAGACTCTTCGAGGTTACTGGCAGAAGCCAGCGTAGACAACTTCAGCGAGCTTGGCATAGCGTTCATGGAAGATCGCTTGCAGATGGACAATGGCTTACTGCCGCAGAAGATTACTTGTAAGTTAGGTTTTCTTTCATGCTGAATGATCTGGTGAAAATTTTTATTCTGGTTCTCGACTATTAGTGATAGATGTACACAAATGGAGAAGGCTTGACTTTTTATTTCCAATTTCCCCTCCATAAGTGATCCAGCACCCGATGGTGGGAATTTAGGTGGTCCGCCGAACCTTGAGATTTAGTTTAAATTCTGGGACAGCCTGCAGAGACTGTGATGCTTGTGGGGCGGCGTTATGTTACAAGTAGGGATGCACCAATACCGATGCTACAGTTGTATCGGTGCCAATACTGAGTATTTGGGCGAGTACTTGTATGCTCCCGATGCTTATCCTGATACCGGATCAGGAAGCCGAGCGGCGAGTCATTACGTATCCCCACCTTTGGCCAGGAATCTGGCTCCATTACTCCTAATCACCGGGGAGCTGGCTTCCCGACCAATTGGGAAGCATCCTGATTGGTCGGGAAGCTGTCCAATCATTACCCGCCCCCGGCTTCCCGATTGGCCAGAAGGCCTTCTCCGCGCTTTCTCACCTGGTGACAGGGGAGCATGGAGTCGGCTTCCTGGCTAATCAAGAAGCCGGGCGGCAAGTCATTACACTGTGCCCGTCTTCCTTAATGGGACTTTCGGTATCGGTATTCGGTATCGGCAAGTACTGAAAGAAAAATATCGGTACTCGATAACGAAAAAACAGTATCAGTGCACCTCTAGTTACAAGGAAGCAGGCATTTGTTTGTTAGGCAGCATTCAAAACCTAATATGACTCCAATAAGAGCTAATGCTGCTGAGACATGGGACACTATCAGCTCCGAAGAAAATAAAATGCAGTATTCCAAAACAACCAATCAGGATTCACCTGTAATCATTCTGACTACTGTAGGCTGAAATCTGATTGGCTATGACAGGTTGCTGCTCTCTGCCCACTTTTCCCCCTGTTTCCTCCTCCTGGCCGCAGATTGGACATTCTTTCAACATTACTACATTCATGCATAGGTGGCTTTCATAACACTCAAAGACTGTTTCAGGGTTAGGCCATGAAATCAGTTGATCGCACTTTGTGTTAGATGCCCCAGTCGCGCACACACTGCTGCATTGTGTGTTAATCTGACACTCCGAATTCCAGTTCTTCAGAAATATTTCGGTCAGATGATTAAGCATTAATAGTTCCGGGCTGGTTTTTCATCATATTCAGTATGAAAAGCTGCTCGGATCCCGGAAGGTTTTATGGGTGAGTTTGATGTGATCACAGTGATTGTCTCTGTTTCTGCTGTGTGAGCTGGAGATCCTGCCAGTAACGGCACTTCCTACTGCAGTCTGACAATGTTAAGCTTCTGCCTTGTGGATAGCAGCCGCAATGTTAGCCAACTGTGTGCACTCCTTCAGTTGGCCATTGGGCTGCCTATCGGGTCTGCACATGCCTCTTGCAGACCTGATAGACAGCTCACCAACCTACTGAAGGAGCACATGAGGCAGGCTGACAACACCGCTGCTAATCGAAAGGCATAAGCGAAGCAATGTCAGCCTCCAGTGGGAAGTGCTGCTGCTACTGACAGGTTTTCTTGGTAAGAAATTTAGCAACAGTTTAACAAAAATTTTTGTTTAAGAAAACTGTGAGATGTGATGCCTGCTAAGGAGATTCACCCTCTCTGTTTGTCCTGGTGACCATTGTCAGCGGGACAGAAAGTGATGGGAAATCTAGAATTTAAAGTTGTCACCAGAACAGGAATAGACGGTAAGTAGGGAGGCATAGAAATTTCGGCCGCTGAAACATATCGGCCGAAAGTGGCACATTGGACAGAAAGTACCATCTCACGGCTGAAATTGCGGTGCATGCCTTATTTCTCTCTCCCCCTCTGGGCACTGCTCTGTGTCCCCTCTGACACAGCGCAGCATCCAGGGGGAGGAGAGAAACGTTCAGGCCGCTGGGCAGGGAGGAGAGTGCTGTGAGCTGCGAAGTCACAGGAGGATGTGACAGATTAGGATAAGGTGGAGACAGCTGTCAGGTTGGAGAGCGGAGTATAAACATTCAGCGATCAGTGATCGCTGACTGCTGGTAAATAACTGAGGACATGGTATGTTTACTGTGTCCCAAAATATGAATAAACAGGAAGTGCTATACATCACTTCCTGTTCATTCATAGTTGTGGAGATAGTAACTCATACTATCTCCACAACACTGCCGGCTCAGCCTCCTGTGACAGCTGTCAGGTTGGAGAGCGGAGTATAAACATTCAGCGATCAGTGATCGCTGACTGCTGGTAAATAACTGAGGACATGGTATGTTTACTGTGTCCCAAAATATGAATAAACAGGAAGTGCTATACATCACTTCCTGTTCATTCATAGTTGTGGAGATAGTAACTCATACTATCTCCACAAGTTATGAATGGACAGGGGCACTCAGTATAGAGGATTCCTGTTCATTGATAACAGGGGCTGCAGAAAAAGAGATTGAGGACTCTGTGTCCTTAATCTCTTTTTTTTTCTATTTTAAAAGGGAAATATCAGGGGTCTGTTTAGCCCCCTGACATTTCCTCAGAGCCCCCAACAGTTAAATTAAAAAATACAAATATTTATTAAACACATTTTTTTTTTTATATAAAACAAATTAAAAGTTTTGAAAAAATAAAAATTAAATCTTAAAATTTAAAAAGGTTAGAAAAAAAAAATCTCGGTTTCGGCCTGACTTTTTGTTTTGTTTCGGTTTCAAAATATACGGAAAGTCTATTTCTGGGGACATTTGTAAGAGTGGATTTCTCTCACTTCCTGTTGTGTTTACACTACAGGAAGTGAAGTTGGTGCACGAATTACAAAAAAATTGAAAGGTTTTAACTAGGGATGCACCGATATATCGGCCGCCGAAACATATCGGCCGAAAATGGCACTTTTGGCTAAGTGCCGAAAGTGGCATTTTTGTGCCGATACATCGGCGCATCCCTGATTTCTTTCCTCTCCGCTGGGCGCTGTTCTGCCTCCTAGAGGGGAGGAGAGAAAGTGTGGAAGCCGGCCGAGCGCTGCGGGAGCAACGCTGTGAGTGGCCGGCGTCTCTCCTCCCACACCGCTCAGCCTTCTATCACAGTCCGGTGGAGCGGTGTGTGTGCAGAGACAGCGCTGTCACAGGAGGCTACGCTCTCCTCCCTGCTCAGCTCGCTCAGCCTCCTGTGACAGCGTGTCAGGAGGGAGAGGGGGTACAAGCAGTCGGGGATCAGTGATCGCTGAGTGTTTGTAGATAATTGAGGACAGAGTATGGTTACTACATCCTTAATTATGAATGAATGGGAAGTGATCTACATCACCTCCTGTTCATTCATAGTTGTAGTTATAGTAAACATACTCTGTCCTCAAGATATGAATGAACAGGAACACTCAGTATAGAGGATTCCTTTTCACTGATAACAGGGGCTGCAGAAACAGAGATTGAGGACCTCAATCTCTTTTTCTATTTTAACCCTTTCGCTGCCAAGGACGTACGTCAAAACATTTTCGGTTTTGGCCTGACAGCGATTTTTATTTCGGTTTCGTTTCAGTTTTAAATTTCCATTTCGGTGCACCTCTACTTTTAACCCTTCCCTACTCTATCCTCAACTAAAATAAAAAAGATTGGGATTTAGATTTTCTTTAGCTGCATATTTTGTGTTTAATTGCATTGTGTTAAAATATGTGGTATTGTCCTCTTTTAGCTGTGCACCTAAGAGAGACGGCTACAACTGAAGAAGAAGCTTCAGATAACCGTCATTTATATCTGGCTCAGAGGAAGGCTGCCCTTGGGCTGAATCTTACCTTTGATAGGACGGTTGGAAAGGACATGGGGGTGGCTGAAAGCACGGAAATGCAGAACCCTGACGATATCAGTGAACACCCCAATGTAAATAGGAGAACAGGCCGGGGACAGAATGAGGAAGCTAGTGGTGAACATCTTCATCTTCACCTGTCCAGCTGCCACGAGTGCCTTGAACTAGAGAACTGCACAATAGAGTCGGTCAAATTTGCCTCTGCAGAAGACATTCCGGACCTTCCTGATGATTACACCAGCTGGGAGGACTATCCCGATGGGGGTCATCCCAAAGAGACCTCAAATCTTAATGTCAGTGGGAAGCCACCTAATGTTCTCATCTATGGTGACCCCTCACTTCCGGAACAGTTTGAACAAGTCAAATCAGTGCTCCTCCAATGCTTTGATGCCTGTCGGTATGTTGTGTACCCTCTCCCTGAGGAACAGGCTCTCACAGCCCCATGGGGGGACAACTGCTTGCTGTTGGTTCTAACGGGTGAGGAACCCATACCTTCCAATCTTCACAAACTCTTTACTTCCTACCTGGAGAAAGGTGGGAAGATTCTGGGCTTGGCATCCTCATTTACGTTTGGCAATGTAGTCCTGAAAAAGAAATCTGAACTTCTGGGATCAGTTCAAGACCTGGTTTTTGATGGACCCGATGGGACGCAACTTCGCCTCAATGTCATGGCCAGTGGGTTTGTGTATGAGGAGGGCTTGGGAGAGTCATGTGATCAAGTGGATGGATGGGGGCGCTTAAACAATGACAGCCAGGACCTGATGATGGTTCGTCAAGTGTATGGAGACAACAGTGGAGAAGCTGTCCTTTGCCAGGTATAATTTCCCCTTTAGCTCATAGAGTTTATATGTTAGGAAATGAGCCATCAGAGAACATCTTTCTTTATTTCTTGAAGCAGCATAATTGAAAAAGCATGATTAGCCGGGAAGCCGTCTTCATGCTTCCTCGTCGCCAGGTGACGAGGGAGCATGGAGCCGGCTTTCTGGCCAATCAGGAAGCTGGGGGGCGGGTAGTGACTCGACGCCTGGATTTCTGATTAGCCAGCTTCTCCACCAATCGGGACGTAGGCGGCGAGTCATTACATGCTGCCCGGCTTCTTGATTGGCTGGGAAGCAGGCTCCATGTTCCCTCGTCACCAAGTGGCTTTCCAGTCAATCAGGAAGCCGGGCAGCGTGTAATGACTCGCTGCCCGGCTTCTTGATACCGGAAGCTTGGGTATCGGGCTGGGCATCGGAGCATTTGGGCGAGTACTTGCCCAAATACTCTGTATCGGCACTGATACTAGTATCGGTATGGGTGCATCACTAGTAACCGGTGACCGGTTCTTCCCCTGGCAGCATCAGTGGGAAGTCCTTTCTCCTGCACTGAACAGGACTCATGTAACAACAAATGAAAGCGTAGTTTAGTTCATTGGTCCTCTGAGCCAAGGCTGTCATGGGCCCACTCTCCGGGATGCATCATCATGCAGCCTGGGCTCAGAGTACTAATGCACTAAACAACGCATCCATTTGTCATTACATGTGCTCTGTTCAGTGTAAGGACCTCCCAGCAATCTGTGCCAAAGGAGACATGGGTTGAACGACACTGACCATCATTCAACCTGGAAGACTGGTAATACCGATTGGCAGGAAGGAATGGCTACATCCCCATTCACACTTTTTCATTCAATTTTAAAGCTTTCTTTTTTTTCTTTCTATGTTTCCCTTTGTTGAATGGTTTTCAGGCTCGAGCATTTTGGTTTTTGCCAATGGAAATCTTATCACTGGGAGATAGTTGTCAGGGGCAAAATAGCTTTACACGCGTTTTCAGGCTCTCTCATTGAAGTCTTTGGGACCAAAAACGCTTGAATCTGCCCAAAAAGATGCTCCTGTACTTTTTACGTGCTGCAGTTGCCGCAATGCTCAGGTGTTAATAGGCATTAGGCACCATTTAAAAAAATTGGATTCTTTATGTTAAGTGCTGTCTTGTTTCAGGAAACTACAAAATGCTCGGGTGTGAATGGGGGCTGAAGGGGACAGCTCCAGATTTAGTATCGCAGTAAAAGCTGCTTGTTTCATTTTATCTTCTAACTAGACTATTCCTTTTTATTTTTGCAACTGTAGTGCTGCTTTAAATACTATACAACTGATGAATTTTAGTATTATTAATGCTCTGTGCATTGTTTATTTTACAGGTCAGGCTGGAATTGGCTCCCGAGTCCTTAATGGAACATGATAAGGGGACCTTTGACTCTTTAAAGCTCAGTAACCCCCAGAGGCATGAGGTACTGACACAGATCCTCATCAGTCTTGGCTTGGAGTGTGAGGTCATCTCCTCCCCGTCTCTCACACCTGTCTACCTGCTAAGTGCACAGCAGGTGAGTGCAGATTGCCATTAATATGTAGACATTTGTGTGTCTGACTGGCAACCAATCCTAATTCTCGCTTTCTTACTCTCCTACTGTACTTGTACTGCAAGGAAAGAGAGGATCTGATTTAGATCATAGACCAGGGGTAGCAAACCTCCGGCCCTCCAGCTGTGGTGGAATTGCAAATCCCATGAGGCATTGCAAGATTCTCACAGCCACAGGCATGACTCCCGAAGAGAGATGCATCATGGGATTTGTAGTTTCACCACAGCTGGAGGGCCGGAGGTTTGCTACCCCTGCCATAGACTATAGACCAGTGGTTCTCAACCTATGTAAGCTCAGGACCCACATTTGTCCTCGGTCATTAAGTTGAGACCCAAGTCGTATCGCAATGGAACGCACGGCAGTGTGGGCTGCTGTGCCGGAGCTCCATCCATATGTGCATTGCTTGCACAGCTCCCATGTGTGCCCGTAGAGTAGCTGGGAGCCAGAATGTGATGTCACTCCAGTCCAGGCACCTCTACAGGACACGCAAAGGAGCTACAGTATAAGCAATGTACATATGGATGGAGCTCCCTCGTGGCCATACCCCTAACCGGCCCCACCTCAAGTCGACACTTGGCGCCGGGCAGCATATTTTGAATGGCTGCTTGGTGTAAGAATGGACAGTTCTACGCTCGGGGGAGGGTAGGGGGAGGCTGAGTAGCCTCTCACCTAGAAAAGTGGAAGGCATATGGCGACCCACTTTTGGGTCACGACCCACCAGTTGAGAACCAAGGCTATAGACCATTCTGCCTCCTCTTCCATTGATTGAAGGACACAGCAAAGATCTTTAGATCCTGACTGTAGGGTTATAGTGCCACATGCAGGAGTAGAACACTAGGTACAAAACAAGTGCTCAGCCCAGGGGTGGCCAATTACAGTCACCAAACCCTCCTTCTGCTAGAGGCAGCTTGGTTTTTTAACCTATCATTAAAGGAGTTGGGACCTAAGCTGGCTGATAGGATCTTCTGTTCTCCTATTTTTATTGGGATTTGTTTTCTACTCCTTGGGATCTCCATAATGGGTTATTTGGATGACCTACAGTTGTGGGTGGACTCCTACTCTGACCTCGAGTGGCTACTTGAGACAATTCTGTAAGGTTGATCAGATATACAGTGGTACCTCGGTTCAGGAACTTAATTGGTTCCACGTTTCTGGTCGCGAACCAAAATACATTTCCCCATAAGGTTCAATGTAATGCTGGATTGAATACAGTAATAGTGTACAGTTAAAGCTTCACAGTAAGTGTGCACAGCTCTGTCTGCGACCGCGATCTCGAGTACAGGAAGCCGCGACCACGTGGAAGATGGCCGCGATCGTGTTCGTCACATGATAAAAGTTTTGACCAACTTCCTGTTCGCAAACAGAAGCGTTCGTGAACCCGAGGTACCTCTGTACAGTATGATCAGGGAACATACTGTATATGTATGAAGAAGTGGCTGTCTTGTTCCTTAGCCATTCAGTGACCTGCACTGGAAACCTACACTTGGAGAATGAAAGGTAGCATGTAATTGGGGGCTATGAGGCAATAAAGACAGTTCTTATTTCAGGTACGCGAGTCCAGTGCAGGTTATACAAGGTACGGGCTAAGCTACTTGGGAGATTTTAATCTCTTGCTGCTGACCGTGTTAATCAGTTGTTGCCAGTCCCCTCGTTTCTAGCTCACTGGTCTCAGCGTGGTGCAAATAACGGTTACTATTTCTTTATATGGCGCTGACAATCTATCAATGCTTTACTATATATTCACCTCAGTCCCGGCTCCCAAGGAACTTACAGTCTAAGGTCCCTGTCTCATATACACACATATACTTATAGTTTTAGACAGGAGCAAACTAAACTACCAGTATGTCTTGGGAGTGTGGGAGGATACCTGGTCAGCAACAATACTGAGGTATTCCGTGGCGTTTAAACAATGCTCAGTTGGTACTAAGGGCCCCAAAGTGTGCCAGAAAAATACTCCCCACACCATCACACCACCACCACCATCCTGGACCGATACAAGGCTGGATGGATCCATGCTTTCCTGTTGTTTACAGCAGTGGTTCTCAACCTGTGTAACCTCAGGACCCACATTTGTCCTTGGTCATTAAGTCGCGATCCAAGTCGCACTGCAATGGAATGCACGGCATCGCATTACTGGAGGTTTGGGTGCGGGCGATTGAACTGTGGGTGGGAGGTACGTTTGGGGTGTCATTCAAATTAATGGCAATGCAACACACCTCCCACACCAGAACGCGCAGCAGGTGTGTTTGCATGGTACAGTGCATCAGTCAGCCCTCAAAAACACTGACAGACACACACAACCACAGACACAATCTCACACACATACACACTCCCAAAAAAAGAATTATAATTTTTTTTCCTTTTCTTTTAAAATTAAGATCCACCCAGTCTCCCTACCTTATGAGAACTGGAGTGGATCCTCAGCCTGGGTTCCAGTGTGGGATGCTGTGCTGTGACGGAGCTCCATCCATATGTGCATTGCTTGTACAGATCCCTTGCGCGCCCTGTAGAGGTGGTGGGAGCCAGAATGTGACATCAGTCCAGGCACCTCTACAGGGAACATGTGGGAGCTGTAAGCAATGCACGTATGGATGGAGCTCCCTTGTGGCCATCCTTTCAGCCCACCCCACCTCAAGCTTACATGCAGGGCCGGACACCATATTTTGAATGGCTGCTCAGCGCGAGAACTGACAGTGCTGCACTAGGGGGAGGCTGGGAAGTCTCTCACCTAGAAAAGTGGAAAGCATGTGGCGACCCACCAGTTGAGAACCAAGGGTTTACAGCAAATTCTCACCCAACTATCCGAATGTTGAAGCTCAAATCGAGACTCCTCCCACCAGGCATCGTTTTTCCAATCTTCTGTTGTCCAATTTTGGTGTGCCATTGCAAAAAGAGCCTCCGTTTCCTGTTCTTAGCTGACAGGATTGGCACCCGGTGGCAGGGGGTAGCCAAACGTGGGCCATATGCCTGTTGTGGAAGACCCACAAGGCATTCGAAAGACTCTGACAGTCGCAGGCATGACTTCCAGAGGCAGAGACATGGTGGGATTTGTAGTTTCATGACAGCTGGAGGGCTGAAGTTTGCTTTCCTGTAGTAAATGGCATTCATATTAAAGTACTAAACTACAAAGTTGCAGTTCTGTAAGTATCCACTATGTGGTGCTGTTGGACAGGAAATGACTTGGTGCAGACAGAGGCCTCCGTATAGTGTTACCCATCTCGTGCTCATTGAATATTGTACGAGAGGATTTAAAACTGACCTCCGGCCTTCCCTTCAGTCTTGCACAATTGTACCGGCTCCTCTCCTGGACTGAAATGGCTTCCTCTGATTTCACTGCACACTGCGAGCTTCTCACAATGTGCATTAGAAGCTGCAACAAGTCAGAGCCCACTTCACTTTACTGGCTGTGTTACATTCAGCATCATCTAGCTCTTTCCTCCCCAGCTTGACTGTCCCTGGCCCGCCATTTTCACTCATTGGATTTCAGTTCTTTCAATCATGGAGGCTCAGCATCACATGTGTGTGTTACCCAGAGCGGTCTGCATGCAAATAGACTACTCCAGAATAACGTTCATCCATCAAGGCATTTTATGATTTGCTTAACTCAACCCATGAGTGAGCCTATGGCTTCCATCAGGGCTGAGGGCTCTTCAGAGGAGTACTGAGGTAGGGTGCTGTGTAACCCGCCGCATTTTTTTCATAGGATTTCAGTTCTTTCAACCAAGGAGGCTCAACATGTCATGCGGGCATTACCTAGGGCAACCTGCCTGTGCTGCATTCCTATTACTTACATTGTGCTCAGCAATCTCTGAGGGCTAAAAAACACCTCCCCCTATTTAGTCGAGATGAGGAGTGGGAGGTGTCATGTAGTCCTGCCTTAGAGTGACAATGCTGCTCATCCACATGGAAAAAGCCATAGGAAAACTAATGCAGCCGCCATATCCAAGGACTGGAAAGCTGCAGTGTATAGATATGCTGTAAGTTAACCTGTCACAGGCAGATGTTTCCGACAACATGTTTTTCTGGGGGAGTGTCAGTTATTTCCTGCTTTTCTTATCACTTTTGTTTTCCCCAATTTTCCATTTTGCACGGATGAATAACAAACCGTATAAAAGCTGCCCATGGAACCCGGTAAACTGATCCAGAGTTTGCTGGTACACCAGTATAAAGCCCGTCACTTGCGTCTCATGCTGTTCTCTTGCGCCCTCTGCTGGGGCCGCCTCCTCCTCTCGGTCGGTAATGCACCCGCAGGAAAGCCCCGATATTACGGTTTCAAAGAGGCCATTAAATCATAGATTAACATTTGTCTAGTTAAAGGTCTACGCTGAGGAAATTTATTGTGTATCAAATCATCTGAGAAAGTTTTCCTTCCACTTTGGCTATTCCCCATCTCCCTGTAACCGAACCTTTCCTGGCTACCAAAAACGTTGTAAAATCGCATAATTGTTACGCAAGTGACGGCCCGCGGAGACTCGTAACCCGCCGTCCATGAAAAGTGAACCTGTAAAACAGGATGGGCAAGACTGAACTTAATACCGCCAGTGAAAGGCTCTCAGTACGAGCAAGAATTGGCCACATCATATTCTTTATAAGTCAGGAACAGATGGCTGTGTGTGGACATAGAAAATATACACTGTGTGTGTATGTGCATATATGTATGTGTGTGTGTATGTGTGTGTATATATATATATATATATAATCATAGGACTACATTAGTAAATGTACTCCTGTGAACAAAAAAGAGAACTGAAGCCAAACAAAAGTTTGGTTACAGTTCTCTTTTAATTAAGCCTGACTAGTTCGGAGATATATATATTAGGGATGCACCGATGCCGGTATTTCGGTACCGAGTACCGATATATTTGATTTTGGTACTCGCCGATACCGAGTACCAGAAGTCCCATTCAGGAAGCCGGGCGGCGTGTAGTGACTCACCACCTGGCATCCTGATTAGCCGGGCAGCG